AACTTTGAGACGTCGGCTACGTCTAGCTCTTGAGTTTTTGCATTGATCTTAGGCATTGCTTAAGAATTAATATAAAAATAATATATCATACTTGGCATGAAATTTATCAATTGAAACCTAATGTAAATTTAAACTCACTAATTAATATAGGAATAAAATTTACAGGTGTTGTTATTAAGTTTGTATGATATAGTTTAGTTATTTCGAGTGGCCTTTTTAATCAATCGGAGTGCGACTCGGAAATAAATTTATTGGGGAAATAAATTTGTATGACACCAACCTAAAAACATGCCCTAGTCGGTCGCCTAATTTGCCTACTCAGCGTAGTTAAGGAGAGATCCGAACGATTTGCATTTCTTAAAAACAAAAATTTACATTTTTTAACTTTATTTTTTTGTGTTTTTCGCTTAATTACTACCTTTATATATTTAAATATTTAAAGTAATAAAAGAGGTTTTTCTTCCTTTGGTCTTCACAGAAATCTCAAACAGGCAAAGTAGTTCTTTGTTTAAATAAAAGCAGAGAAACTGACTAAACGTTACCAAGAAGACTTATGTAAAAACTAATTTTCTGATGAAGTTAGGCATTTTTTTTTTCCGTAAGATGAAATATTCTAGCCAGCAAAAAGCCTGTCGAACTTCTAAATAAAGTTCATGCAAAGGAGTTGCATTTAATATTTCCACAAGTGTGTCTTTCACTTAGAACCTTTTAAACATTGCCCGTCTCAATATCTGAAAGTAAAAGATCTTTCAACAAGTTAGCTATCACCAATAATTATCTTCGTTCCTCAAAAGACCAGGAACGATATTGCTATTTGATGATCGATTCAATTGAATCAGATTTAGCTAATAACGTTTCTTATGAAAAAGTTATTTTTGCCGCTAAGAAGGCCCTCAGCGTAGTTAAGGAGAAATCTGAACGATTTGCATTTTTTAAAAACAAAAATTTACATTTTTAAACTTCAATTTTTTGTGTTTTCCGCTTATTTTTGACTATTACTGTTAAATATTTTTAAAAAGTAGAGTTTAAGCTTTTCTACAAAATCTTTTTTTTATAAATCTTTTTTAAACCAAAGCATCAAGCAAAACAAAACTACCACTAAAATACATATAACGCAACGTGGCAGCGTCTTCAAAACAGCCGAAACAAATTCGTTAAGTATTTACATTCCAAAAATGTCTCTTTTATTCGAAAGTAAAAAGTCTCCTTGTTTGCAGCATAAAAATATTCAATAAATGACTAAAAACCTATATATCTTTCCGTATCGTTACGTAACGCAAAATCTTTCCGTAATTAGTAAAACGTTAAAATTGAAGTTTTCACATTAGTTTTCAATCATAGCAATTTACTTCCATAATCTCTTAATAGTCGTTTGAATAAATTACTAAACAGAAACGTTTCAGCTTTTATATAACTTATGCCCCATAGTATTAAGCTAAAACTTCAAACTCGTAGATAATAAAATCACCGAATATTTGTAAACAAAATAAAATAACATGCGTGATTAAAAAAAAAAAAAATAATAATAATTAATTTGCACACAAAATAAGACTGCATTTTTTGAAAACGAAAGGGCCTAAACGCTATATTTTTCTTCTCATCTCTCCTTAACTAGGCTGAGTAGTGGTTAAATGGGCCCTGGGATAATGTTTTCCTGACTCAATTAAAATGACCAAGGGTGTTGTATCATTTTTATCATATTGTGTCGTGTTTTTTTTTTTTATATTTTTATTTTTACACTCAAAAATGTCAAACTATTTTAAACTTTCACCTCTTTTTAATAGGAATAGTTGAACTAGACCCTGAAAAGGCTGATGATTTTATATTGTATTGGTCCATCTTTTAAACACCTGCATATAATAACATTTCCAAAAAAAAAAGCATTTTATGCGCTCAAGAAATAATTAATAATTTGTAATTACCAAGAAAGCTTGTTAAACAAAAAATTGAAATTGATTTCTTAATGAAAATAAGTTTCACGTAAAAAATAGAAATAAATGAGCTCAAATAATTATATTGTCTCCTTTTTAAAATTATTAGAAAAAAAAGCAGAACTAAACAATTCTTAAGAATTCTTTTACAGTAGCTAATACTTTTAGGAATTTATGACTTTCTGGAATTTCATTTTTGATATAAATTCAAATTTCATTAATTTGAACATTCATTTCTGATGAATCTTAGTTGATGAAACACAGGGTCGATAACAACCTTTCTAAAGAATCTTTTTCTAAAATAACATTTTTTTTCAGAAACATAGAAATTTTTTTAGAAATTGACTATTGTGTCCCTACACTTTGAATATATATATATATAGTGTGTGTGTGTGTGTGTACTTATTGGATTAGCATAGTGAGGAAATCTAACATCTGAATTTTATAAGCACTATTTTTATTTAGAGTCTTTTTGTTCTTATAGTCAATAATTGAACAACACCAATTTTTGAATTTCCTTATTGCTTAATTAATATTTTGCAGCGTGATAAAGAATCTAAACTTATAACACTTTGAAGACTTATTGGTTTTATTTGCCCCAATTTATGCAGAAGAAAATTTCAAGTCTTATAGAGTTAGTTATAGGATTCTTTTTACGCAAAGAAAAGAATCTAAACATTTTTCCTAACAAGAAATAAAATCTTGCTAAATCAGCAGACTTACAAAGCAAGATAAGGAGAGAAATGGTATTAACTGATGCAAACTAGCACAACAAATTTACTGGCCTTATTATTTTTCTATATAGTTAAACTATTACTCATATTATCGACCTTGTATTCCTATTATGAAGGAAGAATGGTGACAATATTCATGTTTATTACAATCTAACATGTCTGAGAGAAGATATTTAAAACAAAGCCTGTAAAATGCAAAATTTGTAGTAAAAAATTTGCAGGTAAATGTTCTTTTAATGAGCCAAAAACAAAAAATGAATGCAATTTAATCTTGATAACTCAAGCTAATCCGCACAATATTTTAGCAGCTAAGTACAAGCTATTCAGCTATATATTCACCAGCTAAGTACAAGCTATTTGGCTATATATTCACCAGCTAAGTACAAGCTATTCGGCTATATATTTATCGGCTAAGGAATGAACTGAAAGCTTGTGACTATTGCGCTATTGGTTCCAAAAAAGATTTGATAAGACACTCAAAATATTTTGTTGAAAATATACAGTAATATACATGTAAGATTTTTTTACCACTTAATAGTAACTTTTGAAAGTTGTCCCCCTTGGCAACGTAACTTAAGAGTTCCCCTTGACAACATAACTTGAGGTTTTTTTTCTTATCTTGTTTTCTCAAAATATATATTGTAATAATATTTTACGTTATTATATTACTTTGTAATAATCAATATACCTTAGTATTATTTAAATTATTTTAGAAGTAATTTGAGTAGGTATAGTAGTACCTATATTTGTAAAAGTTTTTGTTGTTTAAACTTGTAAAAACTATGTAGTTGTAAAAATTATTCTCCATTTTATCCAAAAGAGAATTCAAACTTACACTATCTTTACTTCTCTAAATCAAACTCTATTTTTACTTGGTCATGTAAAAATAAATATTTTGTAAAAAATATTTTGTATTGCTATTTTACCAATTTAATTACAAAAATTACTATTTTAAAATATATTTCTTAATCTAGATGATTTAAATATCATAGAAAACATACTATATTTTGATTAACTCTCTCAGTGACAACAGTGTATAAACTTTGATAATCGTGTTTTGAATAATTAATAGACGAAAATTAGTAATTAAAACGATACAATTTTATCAGGTTAAGTCTCTATTCCCAGTGCCATGACACTTATTTTTACAGATATCAAGATGATTTTAACTTTTTTGTCTTATAAAATCGAACCCACAATTTTTTTTCTAATAATAATAATACTTTTTAAATTCAAAAAAGGCTTTGATTAGAGAGTTCCATCTTCTTTTTAGAATCCAGAATTTTTTTTTCTCTTCAATTTATAAATGTTTTTTTTTTAATTAGTAAGTGCTTCAAGATATTTTAATATCTTAAAATAAAAAAAAAACTACTCTTTTCTAAATTTCAATTGATTTTAATAAGATATTCCATTCTAAATTTCAACTGATTTTAATAAGTTGTTCCTTTCTAAATTTCAATTGATTTCAAATTGTTTATATCAATCTAAAATTACTTGAAGTTAAAAATTGAACTTTGCATGTTGATCAATTGGGATTTTTAGTCGTGTCACTTTTAAATATTTACTATTAGTCAAAGATTCAGATTTTATATAATTATACTATTAATTAAAGACTCAAGTTCAAACACTCAAAATGAGTTACCACCTACAGTTATTGAGCGAGATACATGAAGCTTTATACCTATCTTATAAAAGTAGGCAGCAGGGCTTGGCTATTCTTATTCTTTTCTGAAAAAATTTTAGTCGCAAATTTTTTATCCTACGCTTTATAAATATAAATGTAAAGTTAAAGGAAAAAATGTAAGTTCAACTAAGCAATGTTTGCACTTGAATATTAATTTGTCTTTATCTTCTGATAAGAAATGCATCCGAACTTTATAAAAAAATTTCAGACGATATTGTGATTGGAATACTAGCTAAGGTACCGTTACCTAAGGTAAGGTAACTAGATACAGTACTAATTTTGTTAATTTTTCAACCACTTAAATCAGTTATTTTTTAATTTATTTAAAAATAATAAAACAATGTCTACTATTAACTGTAAATAATTAGCTTTATACCGTTATTTGTTATATAGCTAAGTGGCATGTAATAAAACGTTTTATCAAACATTTTGGAGAATTATTTAGGGATAATTTTAGATTGAAAAAAAAAACTAAAAAAAAAAAACTCTCAAAACTCAAAAACGAATAATTTAAAAATTGTATTTTTTTATGTTTTGTTACGAAATAACATCCATAAACTCTCTCCATACTCTCTCTTACACGCAGAATATAAAACATAAAATATTACATAAAAAACAAAAAAACAAACAAAAAAAACAAACAATAAAAAC